TATTTATGACGTACTTGACTATGCAAGGAAAACTTAAGGTTGAAAATGGAAAATTCAACAGATAGTTAGATAAATAACCGCCTATTCACTGCAAAGTCAGTAATTATTCAGTGCATCCTAGTTTTGTAGATGCCATAGAGGGTTATTATTAAAGTGTGCAATAGTTATCCGATTTTTGGTGTGCAGATCAAGAGAAAATGCGCCACAACTAAGAGCGTGACTATGGTCTAAGGAGTAAGTTAATGGGAATTATCGACAAGACAGTAGCACGGTAGAGACGAAGGAACTAGGAACCAGGAGCACAACAGTTTCAGTGCAGAATGAAGTAGGATATGAAAGAACAAGTGAAGTAATACGGGTATTCAGGGAACCATCTAACGGTGACCTGCTTTTATTGCGGGGTAGTCCTTCGAGAGTTTTAACCCGTACATGTAGACCGCATCTCATCATCATCATCATACACGTTAGCTAGAGGTGAGGAATACCTCAGCCCCGCCTCATCTGGTCATGTATCAGTGTGGTTTAAGAGCCCGATGGCCACTAGCAAAATTATTCATCAATTTAGCAATTGTGTTTTTTCTGATGACCTAGTTACTCAAATCAGCCAGCCATTTCGTCATTCGCAATGTTTTTGCGTGCATGATGACCGGCATCACCGGTTGGCTTCATATACCATTAAGTGTGAGTTCAGCAGTTCAGATTGGACTGATTTTTATTTTCAGCACACATATTATATTCACCAGTGGGTCTTTTGACGTGGGTATGAATGTTGCTTAGAAGCTTTAAACCATCACCACAGGGTATTGGTCCACACGTGACAAACAGAATAACAGGAGAATAAGATGAAATAGAAAAATCAACGAAATAAGTAGCCAAATAACATGTCTCGCGATATTATGGGATGCCATGTGATCGGGTGTGATAAAATATTACAGAAGTTTAGAATAACAGGTAGCGTTATTTATGTGTTGGCTTCTCCTTTCAATACGAACTAGGTGATGCAAATTATCCGGGTGCCATAGGACAGCAAAATACTTACAATATACGAATGCAAGATAAAGCAAGCAATACAGATTTTGTTTCTCCACCTACAAATGGGACTTCAAGGGTAGCATTTTCGAGCCTAAAATTAAGGTGTGGTGGAGTGTGGTGAACCTGCATTATAGGTCACCTATTATTTGGACAAACTGAAGTAACAAATTTGTAGATACTTGGAGACCGAATGCTTTTTATTATGTTCTGCATGGGGAGGAAAGCTCCCAAATTCAGTTTAAATTTGGTTACGTTCTCACTTACTTGTACTTTCATTGGTAGCTTGTTACATATGTAAGTATAACTTACCAGGCCGTCGCAACGAGACTGGACGTTAACGTATTGCAACGGTTTGCGTACCTGTTTGACATATTGAGCTATACTGGGTGGTGCCTCCGGGCCCCTTGAGTGCTCTTCCTACCAGGTTGGTCAATGGTGAGAGGTCAGACAAACTCATTCTTTTGGTTCTCCAG